TGATAACATCGATTGTCTTTTGAGAAAAGAGAGAATCCTCCGGAGGTCCATAAATTTTCAAATCGTCGGCAAACACTTTGACACTAACTCCCAGTTTTTGTATGGCGAATGGCAAATCAAATGTATAAATATTGAAAAGAATAGGCGACAAGACGCTTCCTTGAGGAACCCCACTCGAAGCGAGTCTTATTGAGGAAAATGTGCCGTTGATCACGACTTGAAAAGTCCGATGCCTAAGAAACTCTTCATTCCATCTGACTATCCTACTATGCATTCCAACTTGAAAGGAAGGAGTCGCAGTTATGACTTTTCAAAAAGTATTGAATTACATTGTATCACCTTTGTAAACGTGCTTCGTTTTACAGCAATAAACCATTTTGTGCGCTAACAAGTAATAAATACATCAGGCAGAACTTACTGACACTGTGAATGCTGATGCAGATTACTGCCTGGCTCACAACGAACATTAGGTGGAGCCTTTTCGCTCATAGCAAGACAAATCTAATAAACTCAAATTCTGTAAAAGGGGCTCCTATTATGACAAAGTCCATAAGCATAAACAAGGGGAAATAAGGACGGATTCAGAATGAGTAGGAATCACTAATTCTTTAACACGTTGACGACATCGCGTGTTTTGGCATTTTGCACCGCGTGGGACAGGAGCGATTTTGCGAGCGCGCCGTCCTCACCTTACTTCCGCTTATTTTTTGTTTAAAATGCACAACAACTTGAATCTCATAGAATTATTTCGGCAAGGATGAAAGCATAAAGGTTAACTATATAAATATATAAATGGCAGTAGATTTTTGTTTAGAAGAACGCATAATGACCACGAAGAAGCAAAAAACATCACTTTCGCTGCGAATGAAGTTAAAAGCATTTATACCTAAGTTCTTTCCATCAAATACAAATATCTTGAAACTCACAGAGTTTTGTATTAACTGCTTCTACAATCTTTCATATGAATGTTTACGACAGTGAAAGGAATACTAGGAAAGAATTGAAATGAAAGTTTTGTGCGTTCAGAAAATCTTTGCTAAATCAAGGGATATTTGACCACTCTGGCTGCCATGTGGTTTATAGTTATGCTAATGTATTATCTATAGAATGAATACAAAAAACGAGAAGAAGGAGCGCAAGCACAATAAAAATGAATGATATAGTTCTAACGCGCATGCGCGTCAGAATGTCCGATGCGGTGCCGCGTCAGCCTGTCCTCAACGTGCTAATTGTCAATATAAGCAGCATTGCATGCACTGCTGTTTCGTTTGTTTAAGTACATCATCTCGTTGAAAAGTAAGAGAACAGAAGTGCATTGCTCAAATAATTAGCATCCGCACGAGTGTTGTGTGGTTGAATTCGAGTAACCTCTCAAGAAACGTGATAACGTGAGTAAATATGTTTATGGG